TATTTTAAAAAATTCGAAAAAAATAGAAAATACCGTTATTTTACAAAAAAAATTATACCGTGTCGTGGCGAAACAAATGATCTTTCCGATTCTGTAATTATTTTTTGTCTAATTTCGACACCGAAAATTAGATGACAATTTTAATATGGTGGAAAACGTAAGATTACCGCTCTTCCGAAACGGAAGAGAAGTTCCGCCAAGTAAACAACCGGCAGGAGTAAAACAATTAGGCGTTTTAAGGTTTTTAATTAATATCTTTTTAACTATTTACAATATCGGAATATAAATGGGCAATACGGCTTCCCCGGAAAATTCCCGATCTTTTGGTACCTTCCGCGACATTCTGCGTGGTGCGGTTCGTGAGAAGATAGACGCACATACATAGATAGATAGATACGTTTGTTTACCTTCGAATTTTAATAGTGTAAGACGAGGGTATAACTTAATCCCCATGTTAATTTCCTCCTTTCTTTCTGACGCCAACACTTTTGTGTGTGGTTTTGACGCGTACGATGTGAGTGCATGACCCGTAAGTGCGTGTCATGGCTTTGTCGCTTAACATTTTCCCTTCTCTTCACAAATTCAACACTTCCAAAATTATTTTTCGAAATTACTTTGATTTCTTTGTTTCTTTCCTCTCCGCTTAGCCCGGCGTTGCACGGGCTTTTACCGAGTGAATAAGTTCCTCCCCCCATGGAAATTTCGTTTTTTCTTCAGGCCGATAGCACTTATGTGCGCGATGTGAATGATTTCTTTAACTATGTCATTAAAACTCCCTTTTTCGAAATTTGTTCTTGCGTTGGTGTGGTGTTCTAATTATTAGAGATGGGTGAAAGCTCAGGTGTCGTCCTCGTCACTTGACCATGGTTGAAAATTTCGAGGTCCATCGCCAATAACCCTCGAATAGGCGAACAGTGCGAATTTAAAAATCACTCACTCAGTTTTCAGTTCTTTCATTGCAATTTTTTAGTCCCCGGAAACGAAAATGTAACCTTTTTAAAGATAGTTGTATGTTGAAAAAAGACAGAAAAGTAGAAATTTTTCAAATTTCGAAATTTTACTACTATTTTAAATATTGAAGTAAAATTGTGAGGATTTTTTGAAATATTCGACACACGGGAAAAATGTTTCATGCAATTATCTTTATAAAAGAAGAAATTATTAAATGATTGTTTTAAGTATTTTGAGTGTTTTATTAAAATTTGTTTCCAATGCATAACATACTGCCATGGAAATTCACCTTCCTTTATCAAAGTTCCTGGTATGTGTGTGATTCCTTTATATTAACGTCACTACAATTCCCTTTTTCGAAAGAAAAAAAAATATCTTCCAGATCTTACTAATGTCCAACAGGTTTCATTTTTCTTACTACAACACGGTGTTACAGTGGCTTTTTTGAGTGTAGAACTATTTTCCCCCTGACCCTCCCCTCACATATAAGATTTATCTTCAAGTTTCTATTCATGACATATCAAAAACAATATTGCTTTAGTAAAAAAATAATAAATTTAAACAATAAAAAGAAAACTATTTTGATGCTTGAGTAAAAAAAAGTCATCATTTTTTAATAATAGATAATTTTTAGGAATCTAAAATAATAAAATAATTTTCAGGTTTTCATTAATCAATCAATCGCTACTTACAGTTAGCTTAAAAATGTCTCTAGAACGTATTTTTATCCAAAATAATAGGCGATAAACTTTTAATTAACAAATAATTAATTTAATAAGGAAATAATAGAAATATTCATTTGATTTTAAAAAATATATTAATTTAAATCCATATTATCTATAAATAATAATAAAAAAAATTCTACAGATAGCTCTTGAAACGTTTGGATGTTTGATTAAACATATGTAAGTGCTAAGAAAAACACTATGTGAAAAACCTAGTTATAAGTACACATTCACTGAAAAAAATCATTCAAAAAGAAAATAATACTATCTGATAAAAACATTCAAATTTTTTAATTTTAATTTTTCATTCGACACTGTGTTAATTAAATTATTTAAACACGAATCTGAAGAAAAAAAGTTTTTTTTTATACAAAACTAACTTATTAATTATTTCATGATAAAATTGATTTAAAATGTTCATAAGCCTTTATTTACATATTCACAGTATAAAACTCAAAAAGAAAATAATACATGTGATAGAAAATATATTTCAGAACATTTCCTTTTTTATGATATATTGTTCTTATATTCCACTGTTCTTCAATAAAGCAATCTAAGAATTAAAAAAACTATCGGTTGTGTCCTGCGCCAAATGATATAAGGGTATTCCTCTTTTTACTATGTCAGCGGAATTCAAATCATTCAAAATAAAATACTTAGAATCATTACTAACGCACCTTGGTACGTTAGGAATAGAGTCATACACAACGACTTACATATGGAGCCGATTGATAATTACATCACTAAACTATCTAGAAACGTCTTTAGAAGTATAGAAAATCATGACAACCCACTTATTAAAGCACAAACACTGTTCACTTATCCTCATACTAAAGTTAATTTCGCATATAAATCGTCTAAGTGGGAGCTCCCCCCCCCCCCACTTAAAACCTCCATAACTCTACAAAAACACATAAGTCACACTTTGAATTACTACACAGGCTTCCACTACTCTCTTTTAAAACTGGGTCAGTTGAATAGCTGACGTCATTCTCCAATCCTCTCCCTGCGCCGCAGGCGAGATCGGCGTTTTTTCGCCTCCGATGTTTTTCCTCCACTCTCTGCCCCCTCCACGTCTTGACCCGAAAGGGTTAGTCCGGACGGCTTTTCCCCAGTCTCATTCTGCCTCCCTGCGGGAGGCGTCATTCGTTATCTTTTTCACCCTATCTTCAGGGATACTGGGTATAAGCAATTATTGCTGGCACCCCTCATATCTAATTTTCGTTACTACGTCAGCCAAAGACTTAAAACAACCGCAACCTTTCACGTCTTCCAAACAGAAATTGGGACTACTTTTTAAAAATTCTTTAAAAAAAAAGTTTTGGGAATTTTATTTTTTAAATGAATGGATCTAAAAGAGAAAGGCTTGAAGTTAATTAGTGTTGAATATCGATTTAATAACACGAAAAGTAATTCATACCCAACGATTTAGAAATAATTTTCATAAAAACGCATCTGTTTTAACACTATTTTAAAAAATTCGAAAAAAATAGAAAATACCGTTATTTTACAAAAAAAATTATACCGTGTCGTGGCGAAACAAATGATCTTTCCGATTCTGTATATATTTTTTGTCTGATTTCAACACCGAAAATTGGATGACAATTTTAAGATGGTCGAAAACGTAAGATTACCGCTCGGCCGAAACGGAACGGAAGTTCCGCCAAGTAAACAACCGGTAGGAAGAAAAACAATTAGGCGTTTTAAGGTTTTTAATTAATATCTTTTCAACTAATTACAATATCCGAACATAAATGGGCAATACGGCTTCCCCGGAAAATTCCCGATCTTTTGGTACCTTCCGCGACTTTCTGCGTGGTGCGGTTCGTGAGAAGATAGACGCACATACATACATAGATAGATAGATACGTTTGCTTACCTTCGAATTTTAATAATGTAAGAGAAGACAAAGAACTAGGAGATAAACAAGAATTGAATGATGAACATTGAACTCTATGATTTTTCCAAGAAAGGACTGTGTGAAACATTATGACAAACATAAATAAATAAAATAAAAAATGGACATTGATTGAATTTTTTCTGTGCTTGATATATCTGAAATACACTTCTTTAGTTGTTTTTTTTTTTTTTTTTGCATTTCATATTTCTAGTGATATTATGATATAATGCTGATGTTGTGTTTATTTTGGTAAATTTCTGTGTTATAGTTATATAATCTTTTCTTTTTTTAGAAGCTCCTAAATTCATTTTGTTGCGTATGTGATATATATTCTTTTCATGTATTTACATAACCAGTATTCCTAAATTCATTTTGTTGTGTATGTGATATATATTCTTTTTATGCATTTACTTAACCATTATTCCTAAATTCATTTTATTACGTATTTGATATATATTCTTTTCTTGTATTTACATAACATTTCGAAGTACTTGTAACTTTTCAACATTTATCACTTTTATTAACATTGTTTACTCGTACTACACATTCAGTGTAGATTTCACTTGATATTATGTTATGTTGTTTAACACTACTATATTTTTGTGTGTCTAATGTGAATTATCTATATATTATGTTGTATTTTCTTAACCTCATTATTATTATAGTCATAGTTGAAAGTATTAGATGTGTGATATTTTTCAGAAAACAATTTTATGTAACCCAATGCTGTATACCAGAGTTTGATATTTTGTTATTCAATATTATTTTTTACATGTGAGGAGATTCACCAGCTCACTCTTTTATACAATTATTATATCTTAGACTTTTAATTCATTTGGGAATTTGATATCATTGGAATATTGTTATTTTTATCCTCTGGGGACTTGCCAGTCAGGATTGGCCAACCTGGCTGTGCCAGGCTTCAGCGGAGGGGGGGGGAATTGTCAGGTTTGAAAAGATTAGCTTTAAAATTAAGGGAGTAATAAATAAAAAAAAAGCGAACTATTTATCATCGCATAAGGATTTGTGGGTAAGTAAGCCTATTTAAAGGTGGAACGAGCGCTGGCGAAGGAGAACGCATACTGGAAAGGCTTAGCTGGTGGACTCCTGGCCGGATTACTGTCTATTGTTCTACTGTGTTGTGTGCCTAAGGGCTGCCATGTTAGATATCAGATGATTCAAGCAGAATAAAGAAGCATTTTGTAGAGAGGATGCCCTCCTTATTTAACCAGCAGGCCAGGGGCCTGCATATACATCTTGTTCAAATTAATTAAATACTTTCTATTTATCCATTCAAGATAAACTAGTAGTGGATAACACTTGATGCTAATACAGTTTTTAAAAAATTAATTCATTAAAAATGAATAAATAGTAACAAAAATAATAGTACAACAGCATATATAGAAAGGAAAATCGTCTGTTGTGTCTCAGTAGTGCAAGGGATAGCATGTTGGACTTCTAATTCAAAGGTTATGGGTTTGAATCCCACCTGAAATGAGCTAATTTCTGAGAATGTGATTTTTTTTTACTACACTATTTTATTAGAATAATTAAATTTAATGAGTGAATAAGTAGTAATAAACAAAAAATATGCCAACACCATATATAGAATGGAAAATGGAAAACTGTAAGGAAAATTGCTTTCTACTTTGTCACTTAATATTGTGAGTCTGTCATATGCATATACATATTTATATTAATAGTGACTATTGAATGAAAAGAAACAAAAATAAAATGTTTCTTTGTTGACCTAAGTAGGAATTGACTCTCTTTTTTTTTTGTATATTACTTGTTGAAATTTTTCAAACTACAGTTTGGAAGATTTCAAAGAATGGCAAAGTGTATTCTACAAATTCACTACAACTATGAATTTTAAGAACTCACATAAAAAAAATTATCAGTATTATTTTTCAATAAAACACTTAAAAAAATACTACATGATTAAAATGATAAATTATGTAAATTAGCAGAATACACATAAAAATATTTCTTCAAGCTAAAAAAAAATTATTTAATTATGTTTAGATGATTTGAAAGGAACTAAAACAGAGGAGTATCACTTTAAAATGCTAGCCATATATCACTAGTATATAATTCCTAATTTCTAAAACTTTACACATTAAAAAAAGTATTTTAAAAAGATACAATACGATCACTAAAACGTTATTTTTTTATAAGTGTCAATGAATAATTTTAACAGGAGCTATTATCTAATGTTTAATACAAACAGACTTTTACCGAGGGTATAACTTAATTTCCTCCTTTCTTTCTGATGACAGCACTTTTGTGTGGGCGTACAATGTGAGTGCATGGCCCGTGAGTGCGTATCATGGCTTTCTCGTAGAAAATTTTCCCTTCTCTTCACAAAATCAGCACTTCCAATATTATTTTTCGAAAAAACTTTGCTTATTTCCTCTACCCTTCGCCCGGCGTTGCACAGGCTTTTACCGAGTGTGAGAGTGATTTCTTTAACTATGTCATTAAAACTCCCTTTTTCGAAAATTGTTCTTGCGTTGGTGTGGTGTGGTAATTAGGAGAGATGGGTGAAAGCTCAAGTGTCTTCCTCGTCACTTGACCATGGTTGAAAATTTCAAGGTTCATCGCCAATAACCCTCGAATAGGCGAACAGGGCGAATTTAAAAATCACTCACTTTTCGATTCTTTCATTGCAATGTTTCAGTCATGGGGAACGAAAATGTATCCTTTTTAAAAATAGTTGTATGTTGAAAAAAGACAGAAAAAAAGAACTTTTTCAAATTACAAAATCTTGAAGTAAAATTGTGAGGATTTTTTGAAATATTCGACACACGGGAAAAAAGTTTCATGCAATTATATTTATAAAAGAAGAAATTACTAAATGATTGTTTTAAGTATTTTGAGTGTTGAATTAAAATTTTTTTGGAATGCATAACATATTGCCATGGAAATTCTCCTTCCTTTATCAAAGTTCCTGGTACGTGTGTTATTCCTTTATATTTAACGTCATTACAATTCCCTTTTTTGAAATATCTTCCAGGTCTTACTAATGTAAAAAAGGTTTCATTTCTCTTTTTACAGCACAGTGTTACAGTGGTTTTTTTTTTTAGTGTAGAACTATATTCCCCCTGACTGTCCCCTCAGATATAAGATTTATCTTCAAGTTTCTATTCATGACATATCAAACACAATATTGCTTTAGTAAAAAAATAATAAATTTAAACAATAAAAAGAAAACTATTTTGATGATTGAGTAAAAAAAAAAGTCATCATTTTTTAATAATAGATAATTTTTAGGAATCTAAAATAATTAAATAATTTTCAGGTTTCCATTAATCAATTAATTGCTACCTACAGTTAGCTTAAAAATGTCTCTAGAACGTATTTTTATCCAAAATAATAGGCGATATACTTTTTATTAACAAATAATAAATTTAAAAATAAAATAATAGAAATATACTAATTTAAATCCATTATCTATAAATACTAATAAAAAAAATTCTAAAGATAGTTCTTCAAACGTTTGGATGTTTGATTAAACATATGTAAGTGCTAAAAAAAACACTATGTGGGAAAACCTAGCTATAAGTACACATTGACTGAAAAAAACATTCAAAAAGAAAATAATACTATCTGATAAAAACATTTAATTTTTTTATTTTAATTTTCGTTTTTCATTCCACATTGTGTTAATTAAATTATTTAAACACGTATGTGACAAAAAAAGTTTTTTATACAAAACTAACTTATTAATTATTTTATGATAAAATTGATTTAAAATGTTCATGAGCCTTTATTTACACATTCACAGAATAAAATTCAAAAAGAAAATAATACATGTGATAAAAATATATTTCAGAATATTTCCTTTTTTTTATGATAGATTTTTCTTATATTTCACTGTTCTTTAATAAATCAATATTTAAGAATAAAATAAACTATCGGTTGTGTCCTGCCCAAATGTTATGAGGGAACACCCCTTTTTACTTTTACCCCTTACTCTCAAACATCACAAACTATTTGCAAAAATAACATACTTTGAAAAAAAAAAATGTACAAATTAACACTTTTTAATTTATTTCTCAGAAAAACATAAGTTTACGAAAATCACAAAATGTTTTTTAAAATTCGTAATTTTAAAGCAATTTTTTCAATCTTCGTATATGTGTTACGGATAATATTACTGTACACACGGAAAAAAGGTTCTGTGAGATTACCTTCATAAGTGACGAAGTTATTCAATGTGAAGTAAAAATTGGGACTACTTTTTAAAAATTCTTTAAAAACAATTTTGGGAATTTTATTTTTTAAATGAATGGATCTAAAAGAGAAAGGCTTGAAGTTAATTAGTGTAGAATATAGATTTAAGAACACGAAAACAAATTCATACGCAACAATTTAGAAATAATGTTCATAAAAACGCATCAGTTTTAACCATTTTTTAAAAAACTCGTAAAAAATAGAAAATATCGTTATTTTGCTAAAAGAATTATACCGTATAGTGGCGAAATAAATGATCTTTCCGATTCTGTAATTATTTTTTATCTAATTTCAAAAGTACAAATCGGATGGCAATTTTAAGATGGCGGAAAACGTCGGATCACCACTCGGCCGAAACTGAACGGAAGCTTTGCCAAATAAACAACCGGTAGGAGTTAAAACAATTAGGCGTTTTAAGGTTTTTAATTAATATCTTTTTAACTAATTACAATATCGGAATATAAATGGGCAAAACGGCTTCCTCCGATCGTTCCCGATCGTTTGGTACCCTCCGCGAATTTCTGTGTCTTATGGTTCGTGATAAGATAGACGCACATACATACATACATACATACATAGATAGACACGTTTGTTTACCTTCGAATTTTAATAGTGTAGACAAGCCTTTTTCTTAGGAAAACCATTCACAATTTGAAGAGAAATTTCTGATGAGTAATAATGATCATGTCTGATGTTACCAGCTAATTTAACAGCTGCCATGTTTAGTTCCATTTTAAAAACATTTAGGAGAAAATGTTACAGTACGTACCGAGAATCAGAGCTGCTGTTCGATGACGCAGAACTTTGTTTTTCTCTGCCTCGCAGTTTTGTTTGTTGTTCAGGAGAACTTGATTTTCTTCTCGATGTACTTGCTTGGGGTTGTTCAATTGATGATTTAACATACTTCTTTTTCAATTCCAATTTTCGATCAACATCTTTAAAACGCTTGCTCTCGCGGGATTTCAAAGGAGATCTAGACACGAAAATTCATATCACATTGAGGGGGGAAAAACCGCACATGACACACTTATATCTATACATTAATATAAAAATGACTATGCTTTTTTCTACAATTCAAACAAATCGAATTAAAATGCATATCATATTTCTAATAAATTTTATGCTGCTGCTAAGAAAATTATCTTACAACATAACTTAAAGGCCTAAAATATCTAAAATATTCATTAAATACATACAAAAAAAATTTCTACTTAAAAAAGAAATTATCTAATAAACTATATTACTCACTCTGAACTAGAACTGGAGCTTGATGAAGCTCTAGTGCGTTTTTTACTTTGACTTTGTTTTTCAAATCGATCAGATACTGATGTTTTGGATTTAACCTCACTCTTTTTAGAAGGAGCCTGCCACCCTCTAACAGGAACACCTCCTTCAAGTTCAATTTTTACTTCTATTTTCCTGTTAGGATCTCTTGCAATTGCATAAGGAGTATCCATGTCACTAGACCTAAATAGAAAATGTATTGTTTTAAAAGACATGTTTTCCTAATATAATTATAAGCACACAAAAAAAGACTACTTGATTAAAAATATAAGAATTAAAATTTGTGCTTTCTAACAATAATTAATATAATTGTCAAAATGTGAAAAAATACGTTTCGTCCATATTACAAAAAAAAGGGGGGCATTAGTGTAAATCAACAATTTTAAAATAATTTTTAATAAGAGGTGCCAGCCTTTTTTCAAAATTTGTTACACTTTTTAACAGTTTTTAATAATGGTTTTTAAAATTGCATTCAAAAGCAATTGCATTCAAAGTGCTACTGGAGACAGATCTTGTAAATTTGAAACACAGTCAACCAATGATTACATTAAAATTCCCCCACCACACTCGAAATTTCTACACCATGCTAACCTAAGAAATTTGAACTTCAATATATTTAATGTGTATCAGCTTCTCTGAACAATAAACCTTTAGAAAAGCACCAGGATTTGATTGCCCGTCTTCGCTTCCCAACCTGTCATTTCATATTTATATAATGTGAAATCATTCAGATAAAAAAAATCATGCAGTAAAGTAAACAATTTTATTTACTTTACTGAAAGTTGTTTTTACAGCTATGTTTAAGATGAAAATTTGTACTTCTATTTCATATATGTAACATTCAAAAGCAATAATAATTGTACTGTGATTTTCTATATCCTTTTATTTAAAATAATCTCAAAAGTCATTGTGAGATAATACTAAATTAAAATATGCTGTTTAGAAAATCTAATGTAAATTAATGTATCTATAAATAC